CCATGTTTTAAATGCTTTGGGAATAAGCCCCGACTCTCTACTGAGAAGGCAGGCACTATTTTCATTGCGTCATTGCCTGTTATCTACTCTCTCGTTCTGCACTAGCCCGACTCCAGTGTTTTAAACTCTCCTTCCTTTGCATCCTTGCTGCCTTTATTTACATTACTCCTTTCCCAGTTTCCTCTCCTATTTTAAATGTTTAACGCCGCTCTTCCCCCTGAAAAAAACAGCCCCTCCAGGAAAGAGGAGGTTCGGCTTTCCAAGCTGCCAATTCAGCATGGCAGTCGGGAAGGCGATAGAGAAGCATACATTTAAAAGTGCTGATAGGCATAGAAAAACGTTGTAGGGCAGTGGAAAGTGGTGGCATCCATGCATTTTTCCGGGGCCGTTCATTACTCACGGAACTTTGGCAGGTGGAAGCCTGCTCACCTCTCCCGGAGGATGAGCGCTCCCACGAATGCAATTCTTCTGTTTTCCCGTGGCTTTAGTGTTGTTATCTTCAGGCGCTGAGCCAAGCGGCGTGTACCAGTGGGGGTGGCAGCTGCGCCGCTATCATTGTCCTCGTACGGCTATGACCCTTCTCTCTGTATCAGCGTCAAGAGGATGCCGCCATCCCAGGCGCCCAGCAAAGCCTCCACCCCACCTAGCAAAGCACCAGGCTGTCTCCAAATCCTGTCCTTTCACCATTAACTGTGAAATGCCCAGCACAGGAAATGAAGGTGAAAAGACCACTAAATGGATTCATGTCCGCATCCTGACCATACAATTTCTTTTATTTGGAATTTTTCTTCTGCTGACTACAGTTTCAAATTCTAACGATACTGTAACTTATTCCTGGAAGATGATGGGATTTTTTTTTAAGCACAATTAAATTAAAACAGATTTTTCTTTTGGTAAACTATTTTTAGTAAGATGTATAGGATTAAAAACAAAAAACAAAAAAAAAAACAAACCCCAACCCAACGCTAGCAACATGCTCAACCTGGACGTGAAAGTAAGCTTTTAAGCTAAAATTCCTTATACGTATTTTACTAATATCACTTAAGAAATGCAGTGGCTTATTAGTCTAATAGAATTTAACCTGGTAAGAGTAAGTATGAATACAAGCGAAGCATCTGAAAAATCTAATTCATAGATACTCGAGCAAAATGATTTAAACTATTAAAAATGCTAATATGCCTGTCGACCTTCTATTTAATTTGCATAAAATACCATACAGAGAGTCACTGCATAAGAGGACAGAAATGCCAGCATGGGAAATCTGAAACATTCAGGCTCAGAAGACGACTAAGGACTCGTGGAGCAGGCATCTCTGTTTTAGTGTCAATCTTAAGTCCTATAAACAACGGAACACCCGTTATCTAACCTCTGTATGTGGTAGGAATCCGAGTGCCTAATTACATGCTTAGCAAAGAGGAAAAGACACCAGGTCCCTCATGACAGGTCAGCTTTAAGATGGGAAGTGTTTTTACTCAATCTGATCGCCTCGTAATACAAATGGTCCTACAGTTTCTCCCTCTCCTCTCTCTTTTCCACTGAAGAGAATTATGAGTGAGAAAATGCAACCCACTGGGAAGCAAATCCTCACTGCAGACCCGATGGTTGAAATTCCTGATTTGATTGATTGCCCTGATGCACTCCCTTCCCCTGGCAGGAGCATCCTCACCCCTGCCCAGGACCACAGAGCCATCTCCTCTGCGCTGCTCACCAGACCCGCCATCCATTACCCCCTCCACTCAACAGCTGTTTCCTGCTTGCTCCGTGCAACGTGAGGCTTTTTTAAGCCTTTAAAAAAAAGATGTTTATATAGTTTTCATGATTTCCTTTTGGGCTCTAACTAAATGACTGCTCTTCTTCTCTCCTCCCCCATGACTATATTTGACACCACCAAGCCAAGAGGCTGGCCGTCCCAGGGTTAACATTTCAGTGAACTGGACAGGTAGACCCGAGTCACAGGAGGTCACGGCCCTAGCAGCCTGCCAGTGCCACGGCCGACATCACCACTGGAGCCTCGCTGGAGGGTGAGAGTCACAAAGCCTGCATCTTCTCCGTGCTCTCTCTCAGTACCCAGGAACCACACAGACAGCATCAGGCTCCAACTGGAAAACAGGCTGCTGCCTTCCTTTCCTTCCAGGCAATAACATAATGGGAACTGAAGGATTCTTAAAAGGAAAATGAACAGCAGAAAGATTGGTGCCTCTGCTATTTCCAGCAGACTGGACAGCCTACACAGAGAATCGTCAAAATGGGCAAACGCACATAGCCCAAATGTAAAGTTGTTCACGTCCCTTATGCAGACAAGCAATTCTCAGTATCCTGTAGCTAGACCTTCCTCTTGCATAAAGAGTCCTTTCCATTTTTAAAAATTCTTCTTTCCACAGTTTACCCAAAGGGTAAATAATGAACTGTTGCAATTGCCATTTTAGGTCCAGCAAATTTAGGAGACAGGGGGAAAATAACTAGCTATTAGTCAGGAGTCAGTCAGTGGTAGACTCTAAATTAGAATGAAATCTTCTGAGTGCTCAACTTTCATTTCGTCCATTGAGTCACACAAACAATAATATTCAATAGACTAGGAAACATGCACCACCACAGTGTAAATTCTACCAGCTTGTAAATCTTTCAGGAAATTCTTGAGACATCTGAAACCATTCAGAAACATTTTGGGTGGTTTGTCACCAGATCTTCCAGTTGAGATATTTTCTTCATTTTTTTTATGGCCTATTTCTCCTATTTTAGTACTTTGAGAAATAATTTTTAATTTGTATTTGCAAAAAAAAAAAAAAAACCACCCTAGAGTGACAACGTGTATAACACATGTGGCTTTGGGAATGTGTACATTTTTTTTCTTTGGATGGGAACTGTCAAAAACCAAATCCTAACTCTGCTTAGTTGACAAATAAATTTTATAACTGTCTAAAGATTTAAAGCAATACAGATTGTCTGAGCCAATAAGTTGATCTGGTGAGAGCGGGATGCTAATGAGTCTTTGATCCGTGTGCAGAGGCCAGTGAGCCCGTAACACAGCCTCCGCCTGCACCCCTCACCCCGCCAGCTGTCTCGCAAATGCCTGCCATTGGTCACAGGGGGGACCAGGCAAGCTGGGAGTGCGGATGGATCAGCGCAAATCCATCATCTCTCCAAACACATCACTCAAGAGCTGCTCCTCCACACGACAAACCAGCAGCGTTCTCTTTCGGCACAGAGATGGCGCGTTGCAGGTTGCACTAAAGAAAGGCTCTTTAAAAATACTGGTGTTGGATTGTTGGATTTTAAAGGAGACTTTTTTTTTTTTTTTTTTTTTTTTTTGCCTTGGGCTGAAAATAAATGTCGACTGGTATCTATTTTATGACTCGGGCTTTTTAAAGGTAGTGTGTGTGGTGAGGTCGGGGTTGGGGAGGAGGAAGCTTCAGGAAAGCCGGCTGGGTCCTGGGGACTGACCATGTGGGTGAGTGATGGCAGGCACGCGATGGCAGCGTGAGGCAGCTGGCCTGCGGCGGGGAGGCCGAAACGACCCGCAGCAGCTGCACAAACGCCAGAGGTCAGGCCGTGTTTGTGGACGCTGACTTCTCCCCAGGCATCCCTGGGTGGTGGGATACATCAAAGCCCCACATCCAGGAATAACACCCAGTGGAGGGTCTGTGGATAAACCCCATCCCAAGACGCCGACCCAGAAGTTAGCTGCAAGCTCTCCAAGGGTGGAGTCACCTTCCTCTTGCACATGTATTTCTAGAAGTAGGATGTGCGATGGAGGAGGAAATAACCCACATTCCAATACTATTGAGGAGGAAAAATTAAAAACAGTTTTCCTATGCTAGGTGTCCACTTTCTTTTTCTGACCGAAGTGACTTTTTTTTTGAGATGGAGTCTCGCTTTGTCACCCAGCCTGGAGTGCAGTGGCACGATCTCAGTTCACTGCAACCTCCGCCTCTCAGGTTCAAGGGATTCCCCTGCCTCAGCCTTCCGAGTAGCTGGGATTACAGATGCCTATTTTTGTATTTTTAGTAGCGATGGAGTTTCACCATGTTAGCCGGGATGGTCTTGAACTCCTGAATTCAAATGATCCGCCCATCTCAGCCTCCCAAAGTGCTGGGATTACAGGCATGAACCACTGTGCCTGGCCTCTGAAGTGCCTTTTAACAGTCAGCAGATTTTGGTGAAACCCCTGCAAGACACCAGGCACTGAGGCTAAGCAGTGATGACACAGATGCTCAGGCTGCGGTGAGTCAGGGGGGATTTCCACGTGGATTCCACGTTATACCTCTTTTCTTACAACTATCACACTTGAGGTTGTGGAATGTCTTTTTAGCCAAAGGCCCATTATGGAAAAAACTAATCAGAAAAAAAACAAGAAAATATAGTCTCTCAGATCTAGGAGCTAAGACCACGATTCTTTTAAATTGTTGCTTGTTTAAATGGTTGGAAGTGCCTAAGAAAGACAATTTTACATGGCAAGAGGAGGAGACCAGGATACACTGGGGAAAACTCCCATGATAAAAGTTATAAGAACCATTTTGAACAAGAGAATGTTCCAGTTGTGTGTGTAAAGTACTTGACACTGCTTGACCCCAAGATGGGACAGTGTTATTTCTGGACTATTTTATATTGAAAGGAAGGCTCCCATTTTTAGATGAGTTAGGCTCCAAAAGCTGACCTGGAAGTCTGTCTCGTGGAATGTAGATTGCTCTGCTTCATAAGGCATTTAGGGCCGGGCGTGGTTGAGTTCAAGACCAGGTTGGCCAACATGGCAAAACCCTGTCTCTACTAAAAATACAATAATTAGCTGAGGGTGGTGGTGCATGCCTGTAATTCCGGCTACTTGGGAGACTGAGGGAGGAGAAGCACTTTGACCAGGCAGGCGGAGGTTGCAGTGAGCCAAGATCGCACCATTGCACTCCAGCCTGGACGACAGAGTGAGACTCCATCTGAAAAAAAAAAAAAAATTAGCTGGGCATGGTGGTGCACGCCTGTAATTCCAGCTACTTGGGATGCTACGGGAGGAGAAATGCTTAAACCAGGCAGGCAGAGGTGGCAGTGAGCCGAGATGGCACCACTGCACTCCAGCCTGGGCAACAGAGTGAGACTGCATCTGAAAAAAAAAAAAAATAAAGAAGATAAGACACTTAGCCACCCCTGCCTGTAGTCCCAGCTACTCAGGGCGGCTGAGGCCGAAGCATCACCTGAGGCGGGAGCTCTGGGCTGTAAGTGCGGTTGGCCCATGGGGAGTCTGAGCTAAGTTCAGCATCTTATGGTGACCTTGCTGGAGCAGGGACCACAGGTTGCCTAAGGAGGGGTGACTGGCACAGATGGGAAGTGCAGCAGGTCAGAGCTCTCGTGCTGATCTCGAGCGGGGCCACAGCTGTGAATAGGTACTGTGCTCCAGCCTGGGCGACGTAGTGAGACCCTGCCTCTTAAAAACAACAACAATAAAATATTTTCACACTAACGAGGGTCCCCTGATGACCTCTGGAAATGCTTTTCGTCTCTGCAGTGGCCTCAAGGCTCCACACCCCACTTGTCACCTTGCACAGGCTGCCTGGCGATGCTGCCCCGAGGCTGCTGTTCCCCAGCTTCGGCTGTTCCAGCCACACTGACTCACTGTACCTCGACCTTGCACAGCTACTCCTGCCTCAGGACTTTGCACGGGTTCCCTCTGGCGGGAATGCCAGTCCCGAACAATCTCCGTGTGGCTGGCTGCTTCTCCTCCTCCAGGGAGGCCTTCTCTGACCACAGCCATCCCAGCCCTCCACGCTGACTCACCCACTCGGCTTCATTTTTCTCCCTAGCCTTTCACCTTCTTAACTACTATGCAAGACACTCATTTGATTTACTGCTGGTCTGTCCCACCGGAAGGCAGAACCCCTACGGGCAGGAATTTTGTCTCTGTTATTCCATGCTCATTCTCGGTACTTAGAACAGTGCCCGACACAAAGTGAATGCCCGGGAAATATTTGTCAGATGAATATGACAATTCAAAAGAGACTTTAGTGACCATGTTACAGAGGTGGACTCGGACTCAGAAGCCCTGCTGTGTGACCGCGAGCAAACGTCTCACCCAAGTCTGTTTACTCACCTGGGAAGTATGCTTTCTCCGTTCACCTCACAGCACTGCTGCGACGGACAAATGTAGCCCTGCTTGTGAAGTGATTTGACACCTTCCCTCCCTAAGCCGTGGTTTTCATCTGTGAACTCAGAGTGTCCGTATTAGCTATGCTTTAAGATCATTTAGCGCGTTTACAGTCCTTGGTAATGATGGAGACAAAAATCCGAGCCTCTTTCATGTTGTCTGGTGCTGGGTGTGCTGACTCCTCACACCTGGTGACAGATGTACCACCTGGTACTTCCATCCTGAAGCCTCCACCTCTTGTGCCTGATGGCAACAGAATTCTAACCCACGTTGCTCATGTCCCTTTGGGGGATCCCTGCTTTCTACACTCCCTGCTGCCCACCCAGAGCTTCCTGGGTATACAGTGGGGTTAACTTGGGTGTCTGCTCTGCTTGGGTGTTCCTTCTGACCCGTGGCACTGAGATCCAGAGACTTCTCAGATCCTCCCAGAGAAGGACCGAGGCATCCTCCCATCTGCAGCTATTGCAAGGCTCTGCCGTAGGTAGAGGGGGGATGGATTTTGTGATGACGGATTCCCCAAGGGCTGGGGAAGAGCATGCATTGTAGTACAATGGAGCCATCCAAATCCTCTTCCATGCCTCAAAGCAGAATGGTCCCTGTAAGCCTGAACACAAATATTCCCCTTTGAATTCCTCCTGCTCCATCCTCAGAAACTAAGAAAGCTCTTCTCCCCGTTACCTGGAATGACCTTTGGATGCCAGCCAGTTTGCTCTCTAACTTTCGGGTGTCTCTCAGTTTTCACGTCTGCACCGTAGCCTTGGCATACACCGAAATTTAAATTTCTAAGATCTATTTTACATTTCCTTTTTGTATGTCAGGCAGACTTTCCGTTATCCATCCTGAAGTCACCTTTGAACTTTTAGACAAGGGCGGATGTCACTTAGCGTGACCGACAAGGGCTCCACTTGCCATTTGTTGGGTGTGGTGCTTGTTTTCCCTTTTGCTTCTTTTCTCTGTCTTTTATTTTTTTAATTAAAACAAACTTTCCAAAGACTCTCATTTTCTGGCTGAGCTATTCCAACCTCTGACTTTTTCTCAGGCACAAGATAAGACTTTCTGATTAACTGGGAGTGGGATGTTTATTCAATCTGTTCGTTTTATACATTACGGAGACTGCTTTTTAATTTTTATGCCATGTCAGTGGCATATACTTTATGAAATTAATAAATACAATACATACCATCAATGTGTGAAATTTTTAGAGCCCCATATTTCCATAGTTTGACATACAAAAATGTACTCACACACTTTTGAAATCTACTGTCAAATCATTTCACATCTGTACCTAAAGCAAACAGACATAATGCTAACAGCTTGTTAGAATTCAGAAATGCCACCCGCTAATCAGCCCACCTGTGGCATTCTCGGTCCATCTTGCAGGCTGCATAGCCTGCTGCCAAGAAGCTTGACAAGAAAATGTACATTAAATTATTGAATAAGATGGGAGATATTGTACAGTGTGGGATAAAGAGAGAATGCACAACGTGTGGCCGATGAACATACTGTACCTTTTCATTACAATGCCTGCCTGGAGGTGACCTAGCTTCATCCCCATGTGCCATAAATTATGAAGCTACTGCTAAGTTCCTGGATGCAAAGTCGCTAGCAAGGTTTTCATTGTTTCCATCAGGCTTTTGTTGTGTGTAATTGGCTTTGGCTAAAACAAAAACCAAGAAAAAGAAAAGCAGAAAGCAAATTTTCAGCTGAGTTAGACAGAAACGACCCCATTTTCCTACAATTCTGTCCTGCGGTTCAGAGCCAAACAAAGAAGATTCCCTGACGTTCCTGACATTCTTTAGACATCGTAGTAGCGATCATGTCAATCAAATCCAATCATTAGGTATTATTTAAAATCCTAGAAACATGATCTCTTGATCTTGCAGAGCAAAAAAAAAAAAAAAAAAAAAACCAAATAAAATGCGAAAGTGAAATAAAGTGATGATTAAGATCCCGGAGCAAAACGGGGAACAAACCATGGGTGCCCTCTGCCCACGCCCGGAAGCTTGTGAAATCGGCATAAGCGTGACATTGCTCAGTACGATTACACTTCCACAAATTATTAGTTTCTATAGAATATAAGCTAATGTGCTCACAGAAGTCTCTTCTCTGGGGGTCTGTGGGTAAGAAATGTTATTTTAGCATCTGTTCTTTGAAGGCTATTTGCTCTGGGAAGGCAGTGTGTTTTGCCATAAATTTAGGTCATTAATTTGTATCTGTTCTTTGTTTATTTAAGAAACAGGACAAAAGGGCAGCTGCTGAAACATTTGGCTGTGCCGAGGGGTAGTGGGCTCAACATGCTGGAGTTCTGCACATGGCCAGCTTGAGTTTGTATCCACAGCTACAGGACAGAACTTTATGGAAACACTTTGCCAAGCCATGTGGTGCTCGGCTTCCCTTTGCATCAATACCCTTTTAATTACCTGATCCTGCGGGGGAAAAAGTTAGGGGAAAGTGTCAGTGCAAAAGCCCAGGAGCCTGCCGGGAATCAGACTTTTAAAAAAAATCAGCACCAGAAAATGTCTGGCCATTATTCTACACGACAGCGATATAAATCCTGCAACTGGCCTGCAAAGGTAACACTCTGACCTATATAATTTGATATTTATAAACTGAATCGCAATAATATCCAGTAAATTGATTGTTAACAACATTTAATGCTCTGAAATTGGCCATTAAGTGCAGAATCATTTGAAAAGCATTACTGTTATTATGAAGCATTGCAGAGGTTTTATTTATTATCATAAACCTAATGGACTCAGTAAATTAGGTGTATTTAGAAAGGTCATTTGCTGCTTGTTGATACTGAATTCTAAGCACTTTAATTCAAATGGATAACAAAACATAGCAGTCTTTTCAAGGATGGCACACATTTAAGCAACTCCGAATAAACAATACAGAAGTACAATTCCTGAAATTTGAAAAATAATAATAAGAACGTGACAATACCTGTTAGGACTGTTTTAAAAGCCATATTTGAAAATGATAAATTTTCTATTCAAAACTACATACTAGAAGTAAAAGAAACGAAGTAAAATATATCATAGGTGAATTTCAAATAAAAAATATATTTTTGCCTAGAATCGTATTTCTTCTGGATGAAATATGATGCCCCTTTGCATTTTTTTTTCTAGAAAAGCCCTCACTGTGAGAAGATGTGGTAACTTTTTAAATATCATGAGTTTGCTTGTCTCAGCCTGCGGACCTGTCCTCACAAGCCACCTGAAGTGTTAATGGGTTTGTACGAATGTAGGTTGGAAATTAAATACTTCTCTGGACAGAGATTTTAAATCCTTTTTGTTGTTGTTGTTGAATGTGTTTTCATGTCAGTAGAAATGATCTTGTGTTTTTCAGATGCTCTCTTTTGAAGAAGTCATAACTGAAAATGTGGTTGGAACTCAGGACTGCTCTTACAGCGCAACCTCATCAGCAGGCCCTTCCCGGGAACACTTTGCAAGTCTGAGGAAGCTGCAGGCCCCTGTGGTCACTGGACCTCTCTTCTCGGCAAGACGCAGCAGGCAGTTCTCTGTGGAGGGACCCAGACGGTCTGCATTCAAGACTGCAAGAAAGACCCTCAGCAAGACCTGTCTTTTATTTTCTCTTGTACAGTCTTTGGATTCAACGTGAGGGTCACAGGCAAATCCCTGAAGTCTTGCTCCCAGAATAAATGTGAATTTCATTCAAAGAAAGGATGCATTCTTTCCCATCATTGCATTGTTTTGTGCTCAGGTGGTGCAGAGGAAAATTTAAGAAGCATCAAGCCACGTGATTTCTGAGAATAGCTGAAAAGATGCTTTTCAACATTGGTGGAGAAAGAAGGAAAAACAAATAAATTAGATGTGAGCTCTCATCAGATTTCTTATATTCCAAGACTGTGTTTAGAGAAGAAAACATGGAGGAAATGTTTCTCGAATATGAACGTGCCCGTAACTTGGTATTATACACGTACCATCTCAAGTTCATTAACAAACAATTGGGTGGCTTCTAAGCAGCCTATCTGTACAGCACCTGCTACAGCTATAGAAATATGCTAGATATTATAATAACTGATACTATCTGGAAAATACAATGATTTCTAAAAGTCTTATGGGGGAACTTCGGTGTACCAAGGAACATACCTAGACTCATTCTGTAGGCTTAGATTAATTTAAAACTATCTTTTTTTTTGTTTTTGTAAAACAAAAGAAACCTAATTGAAATTATTCTAAAACAAAGGGAGAAATCCTCAGAATTTATGTGTCTTAAGGAAACTGATCAACATTTCACCACTGAGCTGGGCACAAAACACTTTGTGCTGGTCCCGTCCAGTCATTATGTTTCAATTCTCCTCATCTCTTGCTGCTTTTCTTTTCGCTGACCCCTAGCCTGACTCTTGTATTCTCCCACACTGTCCCCTCCCTACTCCCCAAGGGTTTAGTGAATTTAAACAGCACACACACATAAAAAGATACTGGATTCCCAATACCCTAGCCTAGCCAAAGGCGTCTATCCAGTTCTTTACTGGGCTCTCATTGACCATAACAAAACATTTCATATGTATAAATAAAATATTTCTAATAGGAAGATCTGAGCATCTCTTCTCCTAACCATTCCCTTCCATTCTCTAGTCTTGCTCACTTTTCAATTCTATCCCCATGTCCCTTGACTGCCAAGTTCTTCCACTTTTCTCTGTGTCTTTTCTCTCTCACCCAGTTCAGATGCTCTACATCTGATCATCTTCCCCAGGGTGGTTGTGGCCTTTGGGATGCAGTCTAGGTGTTAAAGGAATGATTATTCATTGTGATCTCCAAACACGAAAGCCCTCCTCTCCTTATAGTGACTCTACTCCCTAGAGAAGAGTTTGGCAGCATTTTTCTCAAAGTGGATTAAAAAATGCATCACACTTAAAAAAAAACCCACATGGCATCTCTCAGGAGACTTCTTTTGATGCAGGTTCCATTTCTGTCAAGAGAGGATGCAGTGTTGTAGCGGAAAAAGCATTCAACTTGGACTCAAGAGAACACCCTTCCAATCCTGGCTCTGCTAATCATAACACTAACTGGGGACCTCATGCAAGTCATCTGTCTCTCTGGGGGGTCCTAGGTCCCCAGGGTAGAACTAGGGGTTGAGGCCAGTGACCATCCAAGGTTCTTCCAGCTCTGACACTCTCTGAGTCTAGGAAATGGGACCCTGAGACTTTAAAACGACACTTTCATCAAACTAGGATTTGTGGGCAGTGAGGAGGTGATTCAGGCTGCTACCCTCTGGGTATTTTACCTGCAAGTCACACATTTTATCCCATTTGCCAAGATTTCTCTAGAAAGAACATCTAATAATCATTTAAAGTACAACGTCCCTTTGAAAACGATGTTTTTTTTGAAAGTTTGAAAAAACATTCTTCCTTTTTAGGCAATGCCTATATATATAGTGAGAGGCAATAGATTGAAAAAAAAAGGGCAACTTCATAATTTTGTCTGTTATTGGTGAACACTGCAAAGTATAAGGCTTAGTCTGAGAAATCGCTCTAAAAAAGAAATATTTTCTTTCTGATTCTACAGCTACGGTTAGATCAACCCATAATTCTTTCTACTTAACTACTATAGCCTTGTGTACATACATTTTATACTATTTTAAAAATAAAATGAAGAAACATCCTTTTCATCTAATCTCAATAAATATCCCATGTTAAGTATTTTGTGTTGTAAAGATTTTCATCATTGGGATGCATTTCAGATATACTTGAAAATCTGTAGAAGATCCAGAATAAAGAATGAGCAAGACTGCTTGATATTTGCTTGAGGAAAGGAGAGAAAAGAGGAGGGAGGGAGAGGGGAAGTAAGGAAAGGCGGTCAGGCATGGTTGAATGCTGTTAGCCACATTTGTGCACATACGAGAAGACCACTGGTCCCTGTGTCGACACAGGCTTCATTAGTACCACTGAACTTAGAAACTGCAGAAACTTCAACCGTGTGGGGAGCTAAGGTGCTTTCCTAGCACATTCAACGTATTGTGCTTCAATTATGTGAAGTAGCCTAGAGGGTCTTCTAAAAATATCATTTGATGGCTAATGCTTTGGAAAGTACAAGTGTCATTTGGGCCACTGTTTTCCCCATTCCAGTTCAGCACACAATGGCACACCTTCTTTGAGCAAAGTCCTGTATGAGATGTGGGTGTAAGCCAAGCTTTCCCCAACACATAGGATGCCTGTGATTGTGTCCCTGAAGCTCTTCCTTCTGGCATCTCTTAATCGGCTCATACTTCTGAGCCCCCACCCAAATCAGGACCCACCTCAGAGTGAGGCTGCTCACAGCAGTGAATCTCACCTGCTTCCTCAACACCATCCCTTTGCCACACTCCTCCCACATCAACCCTTTCTTTGAATCTGTGTTTTGGACTACATCCTATGAGTCTCTTCTTGATTTGGTCAGGGACACTCTCAACTCTTACCCTCCTCCAGATGGGCTAAAGAAAATGCTAACATTTAGCAATAAATGAGACAAACATTTTCAAAGACTTATCCTAGAAATCCCAAATCTCTAAGTAAAATTAATCATAAATGAGATATTTCTTGGATCCTTTTGACCTCTGTCCACTTAAACCTTTCCAAGGTACTAGGGTTCTGTTGGTGCTCATCCTGTTATTAGGAAGCGATTCAGATACCCCAAAGAATCAGGCTTGGTGTCAACCAATATTAAATCTTAACTTAAATATCGCATGAGTTTTAAAGAAACATACAAGAGGCCAACTTTCCAGCCCATGGTAATTCCCCAAGTTTATAACAGTCCAACATCTAAATCTATGGATTTGATAATCAAGCAGATAACTTACTGAAGTAAAATTAAACTAACATCTATTAAAGACTTACTGTGTACTAGCCGATGAGCTAAGCATTATCTTGCTGAGTTTTGTCATCTAACTTGTGGGGCATGTGTTGTTAGTTCCACTTTAGTATGCAAACTTGCTCGTGATCATTACGGCTAATAAAGTCGCAGTCAGAAAAGGTGCCCAGGCCTGACACCTAAAACAGGATTGCTGTCCTAAACAATAACATATTTAGTTCAGATTTCTTAAAGTAGTTAATCATGGAATATAGATTGGAAGCAAATCATCTGTAATGGGAGCATTTGCTCAGGACAGTGGAGGAAGATTAGATGATGTGAAGGAGAGAGAGCAGCAGGGTGAGGTGATTCTAGTCTTCAAGGGCCCAGTACCGTTATGCAGAGGACAGCAACATACTATTCATAATTGTCCCCAAAGAGGGAAATAAATGGATGTTTTCTGGAGTATGAAAGATTTAGTTTAAATATATAAAATATTTTCCCATATAGGTAGTTGTGAGACACAGGAACGTGTCTTCAAGGAAAATGACAGAATCTGTTTCACTGGAGCCCTTTAAAACATAGAATAGATTTTTCTTTGAACAGATTTGGAGAAGACCCACATGGAGGATGCAGAATTATTTCCCTCTAGGATTCTGTAACCATTACAATCCTAAACAGTCTTCTGGCATTACGTTCTTTTAGCAATAAGTCATCTGAGATCATGATAGCCAAATATTTGTAGACTCAGAAAGAGAAGACTGACAGTCAAAACTGGGTGAGATTCCATTATTCCTGTTTTTTTTTTTTTTTTTTTTTTTTTTTGAGATGGAGTCTTGCTCTGTCACCCAGGCTGGAGTGCAGTGGCCAAATCTTGGCTCACTGCAACCTCTGCCTCCTGGATTCCAGCGATTCTCCTGCCTCAGCCTCCTGACTAGCTGGGACTACAGGCATGTGCCACCACACTTGACTAATTTTTATATTTTTAGTGGAGACAGGGTTTCACCATGTTGGTCAGGATGATCTCAATCTCTTGACCTCATGATCCTCCTGCCTCGGCTTCCCAAAGTGCTGGGATCACAGGCATGAGCCACCACTCCCAGATGATTCCACTATTCTTAACCTCAAGATTACAGTTTAGATGAGAAATGAGTGTTGGAAGGAAGGGCATCAATCAAGTAAGAGGATTGTATCTTGATTTAGTATTTGTTAATTAAATACAATCGGATCAGTCTTTTTCCTATTGCAGAGGTACAGGACTCTCTCCTATAAAGCCATTGAAAAAAGAAAAAAAAATCCCCCACCCCATTTTTTTGGTAGCTACTATAGTGGAAGCAATTTTTTTTTTTTTTTTTTGAGATGATGGAGTCTAGCTTTTTCACCCAGGTTAGAGTGCAGTAGTGAGACCTCGGCTCACTGTAATCTTTGCCCTCCTGGTTCAAGAGATTCTCCTACCTCAGCCTCCTGAGTATCTGGGACTACAGGCGTTCACTACCACATCCAGCTATTTTTTGCATTTTTGGTGGAGACAGGGTATTACCATGTTGGCCAGATTTGTCTTTAATTCCTGACCTCAGTTTATCTGCCAGCTTTGGCCTCCCAAAGTGCTGGGATTACAAGTAAGAGCCACTGCGCCCAGCTGGAAGCAAATTTTTTAAACATTCACAAGCCCTTAAAGTTGTGGTTCACTTCTATTTTAAAGAATGAAGAAATAATAACTTTTGGAAACAATTAAGGTTTTCAAATCTTTACTTCTTAAGGTAATCAGTAATCAAAGAAGAAATCTGTACATGCAGCAGTTGAATGAGGAATGCCATTTCCACTTCAATCAGCCGTTCATCACAGGTTTGCATTGTTTGGAGAGGCACAGACTTGGGGAGATCATATCAGTAAGAATTCTGTCTGTGGGAAGTAAGAATTTTGATGAAATTTAGAACTCTGGTCCACGGAGCTGTTTTTGGTGATTTCTTAACGCTCTGATGGTATGCTGTCACCAGATGCATCATTATTTTGAAACTAAAAAAAATGTGAGAAGGCCTGGGAA